TGGGTTATATATATGTAATACCGGTGAAGATGTTAGCTCACCCTTCAGCAAATCGAACGCGGCTTTACACTGTTCATTGAAATGAAATGGTACGTCCTTTTTCGTTAATCGATGTTACGGCATAGCTTTTAATGCTTGATAAATTATATAAATAATCCTTGATAAATTTTCTAAAATAATTAGTTAAACCCAGAAAGCCCTGCAACTGTTTTAAGTTTTTCGGATAATCATAGCTCCGAATGGACTGGACATGCCTCTGATTCAGGGTAATACCTTTGAATGAGATTACGTAACCCAAATATTCTATTTCCCGCTTTAAGAATATACACTTAGCGTAATTTAATTCCAATTTGTATTTCTTTAACTGCTGCAAAACTTCCTCCAGAATCTCCAAATTCTCGTCAATTGTGGAGGTCGCAATTAGTATATCGTCCATGTATACTAGTATCTTTTGTTCCGTATCAAAGGATCCAATATGTGATAAATTCTTTTCTGAAATTCGGCCGGAGCCTTGGAATACCCAAACGGCATCTTTATATATTCGAATTGACCGTGAGGGACCGAAAACGCAAAATATTTAGTGTCCTCTGGATGGATATCGATTTGATGGAATCCATCTTTCAAATCTAGCTTTGAATATACGCACTTACCCTGCAACTGATTTATCTGATCTTTGATTATGGGAAATGGGTATTTCTGAGGATAGATCCTTTGATTCAGAGGTCTCAGATCAACACACACACGCTTTTGCCCGTTACGCTTCTCCACCAACACTACGCACGAGCAATATGACGAGATACTGGGTTTGATTATTTCACGCTTTAATAAGTCGTCGGTAATGGCACGCAAATCAAGCTTTTCCAAAAAGGAAAATCTACGAGGCGCATAGCGAAACAACGATGGGTCCTTTATGTGTACACGAATTTGGTAATCATCCACGACGGGGGACATCTTTAGTTTTTCGACCTTGTGTAAAAGATCTACCAGTCGTTCTCTTGTTCGACCGTCAACTCGCCCATCCAGATTCTCCATTACAATAGCACAGCGCTCTCTTGAATCATCAATTTCAATTTGGAAAATAAAATCAACTTGTTCAGGTTCCTCCGCCGGGCACTCAAACTTAAATCTGCCATTTTGATAAATGAGTTTAATCTTCGAATTGATTAAAAATTCGCGTCCCAACAGTACGTCGAATGCAATAGTTGAATCGTCTACTACTAAAAGAGTAACGTCAAACCAACGACTGACATTTCCTTCTAAACAAATTTGATCGAATATTTTTTCATGAACTTTAATTTTTGAGTTATTAATTCCTTTCAAGTTTAATTATTTTCCTACCCGAAACAAATTAGCGCTCGCAAAATATTTTTGATAAATTGATTTTCGAATTAAGCTTACTGGGTTGCCTGTATTTATAAGAGCGCGGAACGACTTATCTGGGAAACCGCATCTGGACACAGCGATGTATGGAATCTCCCCCTCGATGACGTAAATCCCACTCGACGCTTCTTCCGCGGCAGCCTCCTCCGACTGTGGCTCCTCTTCCTCCATGGATACTTCCGCTAAGTGATTCAAGGTAGTTCCCGGAACGGACTTATTTTTCTGGCAAGCTGAACTCAGGTGACCCTTTTGACCGCAGGCGAAGCACGTCATTGCCGCAACTCTACAGTCCTTTGCGAGATGTCCGGACTTCTTGCAGTGAGAATAACTGATTCCGCTCCTCGAGACGGCCAATCTCGGGCTGGTCCTCTGGCTTGCGGTGTCGAATCCCGTACGGCGCGCAATCACGCTGTCCTCCAATATCCTCCGCATATGCTCCAAAAACTCCAAAACACTGGCAGCCCATGAATTCAATGCAAATCTTCTAAAAGCGAAATCCTTGACCCCATCAGCCAGCAATTCAATTCTCTCTTTCTCGGTCAACGTGAGAAACTGCATCAGTTTTAGTTTATCCTCTGCATAGTCTATAAATTTCTCAGACTGCGCCCTCCATATTCGCGCGTTGATTCTCGACAGCGTCATGGTGACCGTTTCTTTTCTCTCAAAATACAGGCGAATTTGACGTTTAAAGTCCTGCCAAGACGCAACAGATTCCACTCGCTGACGGTTATACCAACTTAATGCTCGACCTGACAGCTGATTTACCGCCGCAATGACCAAAACCTCGTCTGGTACTTGATACATTCCGACGATGCTGGCAATCCGCTCCAACCAGGAGATAATATTCTCGTCTTCCTTTCCCGTAAAGGAGGGTATCAGTTTCGAAGCAAATTTAATCTGATTCCAGTTGTGAACGCCGCTTGATTGAGAGTCCGAGCTCGGCGATGTCATTGGCCTTGCCTCCGAACTCGACCAGTCCGGAGCAGCACTCACCTGCTGCCCCTGCGCCACGTTCAAGGCCTGGATTACTGCTCGCACAATATCCTGCAGATCAAATGCATTTTCGGCGCTGATCCCTCTCCCAGAATGCCGGCCCGCCTCCGCCGTTTGCACACGGGGCGCCAGCTCCCCTGCGTTAGCATTCGCAACAACCTCCTGCACAGCCTGCGCCTCCTGCTCAACCACCTGTCTGTCCTCCGTAACGGGCGGCAATATGGAAATGGTCTCCGGCCACCCCTGTCGCTCGAAGTGGTCGGTAATTCGGTCGAACAACACAGCACGGGCACCATGTATGTCAAGACCGTGCTGACGAGCAACCTCCCGCAGTCCGTCTATGTTAAGTTGCTCCAACTGCACCCGACTCATGATTAAGCCGGACCGGTTTTCCGTCGAATGATAGTCGATAACTTCAAAATAACACCGATCGACAATTCGATAACTGCCGCAGCTTCCCTATCGCGCAAACAGCCACCCGTTCACGTGAACTCTGAGCACGAACAAACACACACTTGCCTTCGTCCTGATCACGTGAAGGACACGCGCAAATTCATGCTCCGTTTCTACCACCGTTGTCCTGATCACGTGAAGGGCACGCGCGCACCTTGTGCTCTGCGCAACGAATTCTCTCACTTTATGTTTGAATATCACGAATCTAAACTCCGAAATAATGCACCGTCCACCGCTCGCACTTGCCCCCTTCCGAAGCTAGTCACGAACGGTCCACACAGTAATCAGACGAAACTCTCAACTCAACTTTAATAGCAAGTCTTCTGAGACGCAATCTTATTGGTTCTTTTCCCGAGAAATTTCTGGTTGATATTCCACTTCTGAGATAAATCTGCTGTAGGCGCAACAGACAAGAAGGCTTCAAACACAGATATAAAATTAATAGACTCAAAACCGTGAGTTCAACGAGAGCAAAGACATGTTGTATTTGACTATGAAAGTACATAAGATTCATGCAAGATACAGTTTTCGGGCAACTCTCACCCTTAGTGACGCTTTCCGACAGCAATCGGTACACGCACCCCGTTGCTTTTCTAACTCACTCTCGTTACGGCACTCTCGCCTTAGATTAGAGCACGCCCGCTCCACTATTCTTTATCTTAAAATTATTTGCACGCTCGCTTCCGAGTTCGGAGCATCTCCCGCGAAGATTTCCCAACGTAATCTATTCTCTCCGATATTCGAAAACCCCTGTGTCGTCCGACCCCCTGCGATCGCAGCTCAATCTATCGATCAATAATCAGTGTGGCCCATTTTGCATAGATGATGCGACCTACATAATTTTAGTTAGGCGCTTACACTTTTGTGGCGATCATCAAGACTCTCTACTGAATTATCTTTTTTACACGTAGTTAAGATACATCCGAGCACGTACATATATCAACATAGCAATAAGAAACATGTATACAGAAATGTAACACACGAATTGATTGGTGCAAACACTTTTTTTGTACCATAAATCATAAGACACGATCGTGTCTCGGCGCTAAATTAATACATTACAGCGGTATCCCGCCGTGAGTTATAGAGTGAGCGATAGGCGTTTCTGCACACTGGCAAATAAACGCGTATCTTCGATAAATTTTGAGGATTTTGAGAAGCTTCTCCAAGAGCACGCGGTCCTACTAAAGGAAGCAGTTATGGCGTAACAGAATTCGCAAGACAAGTATTCGACTAAAGAGACATGGAGACAAATAAACTCGCGAATGACGTTATGTTTCGTAATAAATCGGACTGTAAATTTCAATTCTCTGTCGGATTTTATTTTTTGCATTGATCTGCTATTTGCTATATTTCTATTTTCTTTAAAATAAATATGCTTACCTTCAAAACGTGATATCAGACTATCACAACCGATCTGTCGTAACAGATCTGTTATATTAGATAATTCGGTACTATTTTCCATGGTACACTAAAATGTCGAAATCGCTTCTCGCCTGCAACTAACACTTCGAACTTCACGGTGAAACAGTATAGGCACATACGTATGTCTGGTATGTGTAAACACGAATAGCACGATCCGACACCGGCATGAACACGAAGAATACTGACGAGAGCCACAAACGTGAGGAAGTAGTGCGTGATGGTAGTGGTGCCACGAATCAAGACAAAAAACGAAAAACCACGAAAAACGCGAATTGTATAGAAGATAGCGAATATCGCTGTTGACTGTGTAGCAAAGCAGCTCGATAGGCGCTTAGTGATTCTTTAATATGATTGTCCTATACAGTTCTTTTCTAAATCTAAATATAGAAATCAATCATAATGAAGAATCATTGAGCATTTATTAAATTGCTTTGTCTACTAAATGCATTCCAATGATAGAGAAAGCAAAATGCGCAAGCTCAAGAAAGAAATGTTGATTTCAAATATCTGATATTCTTCACTAAAGAAATATTATGGACTATTTTATTAGAATAAGAGTAATTACTTGTTTTAAGATAACGTGATTGCGAAATATTTATAATGGTAATTTTGTTCTGAGAAGAAAGATATTTATTTGAATTGAAAATGTAGATTTACTTTGAACAAGAACAAATTTCTTGTTTCAAAACTATATTTCGCTTTTTTGGAATCTATTGCATAGAATTGAAGGAAATATACTACATTTTTCTGATCAAATAAATTTTTTTACATTTATATATTAGCAAATATTCAAATTAACCAAATCTGACTTTTCTTCGATAAAATTTTATGACATTCTTGAAAAGAGAATAAATTCTTTTTTTTGAGTAAATGATAATGAGATTTTTAATAAGTTGTGATGAGTATATTTTAAAACTATTATCAAAAAAATATTATTTATTAAAGATAATTATGACTTAGAAGAAGAAAAGTAAGCTGAGTAATCATTTTTCTTGGCAATAGAATGATATTTTTCTGTGTGTACTGATACTATAACTTTGCCGAAAACATACGCAAGTTACAATGATTCGAAAAATGATTTAAATATGTGTTTAAATACCGAAGAAGCCGCGGAATATACCTCTTATTAATGTTTAGTGTTCTGTTTACTTATAAAATATATTTTTTTAAATAGCATAATGCAAGAAGGATAATTTAATACTTGCTTATTTTGTTACTGGTCTTGCAATATTTTTCTGGCAATTAAAATTTTTATTTAAAAAGTTAAAATAATAAGTAAAATATTTGATCTGAAAATTAACATAATATATTTATATTAGTTTAATGTCAAAGGAATTAAGATACGATTATGAATTGGCAAAGAATATATGTTTTGTGCAATTTATTTTTTTATTGACATTCAACGATACAGATTATTTTAAAACCAGTTTTTAACATTTATTGTTTTCCTGATTATATTATAACGTACATAATTATAATAAGGCATTAAACATATGTAACATTTAATTCTTTTAAATATAATATTTTAATTTTTTAATTAACGATTGTTGGAATTAATAGAGTTAATAATTATAATAACTTATTCATGTATGCGTAAATATATTTCTTATTAAAACGAATAATATACTTAAGGTTAAGTAATTATTAATTATAGATAAAACTGAAATACAATCGACATAAAAAGATGTTAATTACTTTATAAATAAAAATACAAAGAAGATACACATTTAGTAACTGTTATAACTTAGTATAAATAAGATAATATTGAAGATTTCCATTATACAAAAGAAATTTTTTGTATAATTTCGAATAAAATTAATATTTACTGTACTTATTTAGAAAGTTTATTTATCTAAAAACTATATTTAAGAACTTAAGAAATTTACGGACAGTATGTATTTCTCTATATTAGATTTTCCTTCAGAATTACTAATATTCTCTAGATACAACTTTTGTTCTTCATTTAATTCTAATAATGCAGTAAAAGACGAAATAGG